TTAAACTAATTAAGAAGTACAGTAGTTTATCTCCTTTTTGCCAAATTGAGCCTAAGGTTCTTGATGTTCTTGGCCTGAGCTAGAGAGGGGAGGTAGGGTTTCATTCTGGTGAAGTTTTTAATCAAAAGGTAGGTGCTCCTGTTCTCTTTCTTTATTTTTCTTTAAAATAATTAAGAAGTACAGTAGTTTATCTCCTTTTTGCCAAATTGAGCCTAAGGTTCTTGATGTTCTTGGCCTGAGCTAGAGAGGGGAGGTAGGGTTTCATTCTGGTGAAGTTTTTAATCAAAAGGTAGGTGCTCCTGTTCTCTTTCTTTATTTTTCTTAAGATTTATTGCTTGATCTATATACTCTTAATCATGTTTCTCTTGTTGATCTATCATATATCCCATCTTAGATCTGCAGATTAATGATTTTCAAATGTTAACTGCGTGTATACTACAGATCTAAGCAGATCTATCATCAGCTTAAGGTGTTGATCATATAAGGGTATATAAAATACATCTTTCACGTTTTCAAGCAATTAACCATATTTGATCAGTACAAAGCCTTCATATTTCTGTGGAAAAAGCAAAAATACACCAGGAGTCCCGATGGGAACGATAACGACGAAGGCAATGCAATGCACAACGGCATGCAGCCTTGACCACAACGGTCAGCGAAGACCGCCAATGGTCAGCGACCAAAGCCGCAAACCACAAATCCCTACCATCAAGGGTTGCAACTCGCAAGGCAAAGCCCCGACCACTGACAGACAAGTGTTGACGGTTGGCAGCTAGTGGGTAAATCATGGAACTCTACAATAGATGGTCCTGACCTGATACTATTGATCCATGTTGACCTTTTGACCTCATTTTGGTGTTGTATACACATATAATTGTTCGCTTAACTGCTAAACAATAGAATACACTCACTTGCTCATGATAACTGAATCAACTATGTTTACACCATGTAATTGACATGACTAGTGGACAAAGAACTGAACTATGTTTGTGTTCGTGACATCTTAGTAACTACATAATGTGACCAACTTAGAATCACATAATAGGTGTACCCATGAATTGTACATGATAACAAATAGCATTGTAGCAATCTTATGGTTGTCTCCACAACAAGAAGTGGGTGATTTAAAATATGATAAATGAGAACATTATGGAATGTCATAATCATGTGAGGTATGATCGGCAACGCCACGTGGGTGACCTGTGTGCATTGAGCTTATATGGCTACATGTTCGAATGGATACAACCTTGAGATTGCCACTGCATGTGGTTAGTCACTGGTGTACCAAGATGGCCCGATGTGGCACCCACAGTCCACTAGACGAATACACATGTGAACCACACTGTTATTGTATTTTCTATAGACCTAGTGCATAACATATCATGCGCAATTCATAATAAATGGTAATATGAATTTTTAAGGGGTTTGTATACAACTGCCACATCAAAGAGGGCAGCGCATGCTAAGATACTCAGAATGAAGCTTCAATTATGTTTATTGACTAAGTTGTGATTGTCTCTGCACTAGTCCTGAGATCAATTGTCAGCTCCGTTGCATTCCAAATAACTTACAAATAAACCTTTAATGGTAATCTAGAGTTCACTAGAATTACTACATTGTTTTTTACGTTGTTCAATGTTAATTGCACTGCTTACATTACTTCTTGTAATTGCGCCTCACATATTGCTTCTCACCTCTTTGTTCCTGTTTTACTCATCATTCGTTTCTCTATGAGTGCTTGTTGTCCACTCCAGACTTTGATTATATTTTTTATCTTTCTTCTTATCAAAGAATCAAGATGTTGAACATCGGATGTCAAGGAAATATCGAATGACCAAATCAATATCAGACTACGAATATCGAGAAATATTAGAAATATGTAGTAAATATCCGGGTCCCATAACCGAGGATGTGCATGTAAAACATAATGTGCATGTACAATATAATGTTCTAAATGTAATTTTAGCACATACAATGAAATCTAAGCATACAAAATGTGAACAATGTACGTTTATGATTATTAATCGATCTTTTAAAACAAATAGAACTCCAAATCTAGATTGCAACATTTTGGCTGATATTTTAGGCAAAATGTTAATATCGGGAAAATCATGATATCGCCTAAAATTTAGCAAAATTAGTTTATTGTTTGCGACAAGCCATATAAAAGGACATATTGGAAAACATATCAGCTGATATAAGAGCCATATCAAAGACATATCACCCAAAAAATGTCAAAAAGAGAAAGGATATCGAAAGCATATCGTTTTATAGCACGCTTCGTAAGAATAAATCGACCATATCGAGGATATTTAAAGTAAAACAATGTGGAGGATAGCGTCAACATGTCAGACATGCTTTATATACCGAAGTTAGCGGAAGAGCAAAATAGCGGTCTTACGCCGTGTTTTTATGCATTGTTCTAATTTCTAAACAAACATTAGGAGTTTAGAATATTTGTCTATATTTTATGTATCCCCGTATTTGAGGGGTTAGATTTGTTAGTTGTCTAGTTTATCATCTTGTTGAGTTATTAGGTTGTTTTGTACCTGTTTATTTATTAAAGACCAATGTTATCAATGTGTGATGCGCACTGCAGGGCATAAACTTCCTTTACGTGCACATACGCAAGGCGCAATGCGATGTGCACGCCCGAGTGAAGTGAGACACACTCCACACATAATTTTTCAAAATAGAAAATCAAGTATGAAAGAAAATGTTTGTAAATTTCCACATAAAAATATGTTGATATAAATAATATGTACTACTAAATAACAAAGTAAGTCTTAATTCACAATACTAACCCAACGAAGTAATAAAGTTCATAACTTTCCAAAGCAGAAGTCAAATCATGACTAATATCAAAGCAAAATCAAATAATAAATGAGAACGAGTTACATCCTCAAAAAGTTGTAAAATGACTTAATGGGTTCATAAAGAATTTCTTTTTGAAACAGTCGTCATTCATGGGAATCCTTATTTACCAAAATTATGAGAATTTTTCAAATATGAAAAACATGTCATTTAAAAAGGTCCTATTTTCAACAGCAAGTGAAACTACAATAGCAGTCAACTTGTCAAAATCACACATTTCCATCCTATATCTATGAGAGAAAAAAATGCAACAGCTTGACAATGTCCTAGTCAATAGACACTAATTCAGTGAAACATACCTGTGTATCCCCAGCATTAGCTGCCATGGAATGGGCATTCTCCACTTCTTTGTCCTTTTCAAGAAACGCAGCACGCTGGTATTGAAGACACGAAGTAAATAAACTTGCATTAACGACACTATTAGGAAGCCATAAATGATAAGAACCTCAAACGGATCCATATTCACTGTTGATGTGAAGAACCTATCCAAGAATGAACCTTCACCTGAAAAACCAAGGAGAATACGGGAGAGAGTGATGTAGCATTTTACAAAGAAAAGTCTCAAACAAAACAGTAACCAGTAGATCTAAATGCAAGGTTTATAGTAAGAATGGTAAACAATGCCCTAAAAGAAAGGCTCAGACTTAGTTTCTTGTCATACAATTCTTCTTTAAGAATATAGGACAGAGCACGAAGCTCCAGATATTGTATTATATGATATTACTGTTACTTTCCACCTATCAGAAATACTAGTACAGCAGCAAAAAGTGCCAACAAACAGAAAAGTATAATTTTAGTTTGAATTTAGATAAAAGCTCGGTGCATTGAGTGATAGCAACTTTCATGGTATAGGTCAACCGCATAAATGCCCATCAGAATAATTACGTCGAATATTAGTAGAAGCGAAAAAACGTGGATCTTAGACCAAGAGAACTTAATTTCTTGGGGCAGAATGTTCAGCAAATTATAACCCAAGTATTTGACATATGTGATACCAAGGAGTCACAATCAAGGTAAACAATAAATTCTGCAAAGGTATCCCTAAAAACATGACTCACTAGTGCTCCCTCTCCCTCTCCTCTCCCTCTGAAACCTACTACCTCATGCCCTTATGATTGAACCAAGCCACAACCAGACATCACCCATTTTTCATAATTTAGGGAGGTGAGTCTCATGAACTATAATTTCTGTAAAACAACTACAATACTTTATTTCAAAGCTTTTGTGTCTACTATCCTTTACTTCTATTCATCTGTGCATTAGGGGTATTTTCTTGGTTAAATTAAAATTTTGACATTGACGAGAGAATATCAAATTAGATACCATATCCCACAACAATTAAATTTATAAAACTGTGATAGTGATCGAGCTCCATAGTCTTCTGAATGCCACTTGATGCAGAAATAGGGAAGACTAAATAGAGAAATGGATCAGTGTATGGGTTTCTAATTTAACAGAGAAGCAGTTAACTGAAGTGGGAAACCACATACGCTCCATCTCATGTTCCAAAAAAGTAGAATTCCTAATCGTAGTAGGAAACAGGTACTAACTTCATGATTCTCCTGTTATCAGCAGCTGCTAGCCTGCTACATTATCATACAATAGTGACATGAGTTTATTATAGCTTCTTAAGCAACAAGGCACACAACCCATGAAAATTTAATTGTTTTTTTCTTTCTATAATTTAGATATGAATCCAACTCATCATACTATGATAAGTTGCGATATAATTTGAAAACACAAAAATTTAATTGCTTTTTTTCTTCCTCTAATTTAACTTATTATAGTTGACTAAGCATATTATTTCAAATTTCAATAGTATTCTGCTAATTACAAGAAATAAGCAAATTATTTCATATTTTAAAAGTATTCTCCTATAGGGAAGTATGGACTGTCAATGAGGTGTGCTCATGCAGATCCCTATTATACTTGTCGCGCCAAAGGATTCATATGCTAAAATAGTTCGTATCAATTGTATTAAAAAGGAAGTCAACATTTTATTAAATTATAGCATTGTACATAGAGGTCCAACTAGTATCTAGATTAGATTGAGATCCTTGGGCGAGAAGTTTCCTTTTGTCTTCAAACACTCAGTAGATTTTTTTTCCTAGATAAAAGTTGATGAATGAGATTTGTTCATGATACCGGGACTGGGAGTCTACTTCCACAACAGCCTTTTTTATCGTGTTCTCTCCTAGAAGATTGTGATAAAATTCCTCAGACCAGTTTAGCTTTACCTTTACAAGTTAGGTAAATATAGCATAATAAATAGTGGTAAAAAGTATTGTATTGACTTACTCAACTTGATTTCTGAAGTTGCATTTCCTATAGCATGAAGGACACCAACGGTTCCACAAGCATTAGCCACTGTTTGTTTCAAGAAATATACCTTATCACTGGGTTCCTGCAGCCAAACGACCAAAATATATCATATCAAAGCAAGTCTGAAATTTCATTAGTTACCACCATCATGATTTTTGAAATAATTTACTGTCTCTAAGTTGTAATTGTAAATACTGCTTTACATCTTCATAACCAAATTAATAAAATCTACAGCTTGCTTAGTCGCTCTGTCAGTTATTATTATTCAATAAAGTGAGAAAGAGAATTCCGTACTTTTTGTCATGAGTCACGACAATATATGTCAGGAGACGTATGCAGGAAAGTAAAAGATTTAAATAGCTCAGTCTCGCAAAACTCCAATATATATCATTACTCAAAGAAGAAGGCCAGAATATAGAGCAGTTAATAGAACATGATGGAACGAAGACAGATGACAAACTCTCCGCTACAAGCACCAAATCAGCGCATATATTGGAGAGAAGAAATTTAGTGTTGAACCATATCAATTCTTCATTGTTGAAAATGTAATTCATCAGCAAAAGTCGAACACTAATTCCGTTGTTGTTTTTAACGAAAGATAGGCTTGATTTCATTGTAAAAAGGAGCAGAAATAAAATAACATGTGCATCGACTTTCAATAGAAGGGGAACATTTATTAACACCTTTTACGATCTTTGAAAGCAACTATGTTGCAAGAAATTGTCAAGTCATAAAATCTGAACAATCAGTTGTCAGGAGGTAGGCATACTGTTTCTCGTCAGAATTATACTCAAGGCAAAATATAAGCCAACGAATCAAATAAAAATATCATCCTAAAACTTGAATTTCTTACAATAACATGGAACATTATACATCACAATAACCACTTTGCCTTCGCAATTACATATTCTGTTCTCTAATATTTCTTAATTGCAAAGCTCAATTACGTGATTTTGGTATGCTTCACCAAAAGACCAAGTAGGGATTAGGGAGAGAGGGTTTGAATAGATGTCTAGGGAAATTTCAGATTTTAGGAAGTCAGTCTGATCTTCTTTCAGAGGGGAGATGTGTGTGTGTGTCTCTGCACATTCTTGGGCGTCCACTGAAACCATGGTCGAGCCCATGCATTACTCTATGAGAATCTTATTACCATGTAATTTGAATTCCTTAGTTTATATATTCTCTTCAGTATAACATTTTACCAATTATACCCTCAACGTTGAGAACCTTAACTTATTATATTAAAGTATGTCATTACAATTTTGCTCTATATCTATGATCTATCCATAAAAATTCAAGCAAGAAATCAAGTGAAAATAAATGTACTGATTATTTGCTTAAATTTGTAGATAATTATACAACTAACGAAGAAGTGAACCCGACATCAAAAATATATATTACTGCAAACTAAAATATCGGCAATTGGTCGCAAAGATGTGACAAGTAATAGTTGTATTTGTCTATATTTTTCCTCCGGTATCAAAATGATATCTTTCATACTATTAATATTTATTTTCAACTCCAATATCCCATGCATCGTTATCTGTGCATCATAAACCCACAGCCACTCAATCGTCGGTCTCACTAACCTCTATATATTGCATGGGTAAAAACTAGCTCCATTGTATACAAGCAACTCTACTCAAGTTGAAAGAAATAATTCAAAAATTTGCAAGTTTACCTTCCCCAAGACCTCCTCTTCCTTTCTCTCAGTTTCCAACTAAACCAAACAAAGAAAAGAACACAAAATCGGCATCATTCTATGTGAAAAAAAAAAGAATCTAGCTAAAAATAAATTCATAATCAATCAATTCCTTTGACCTGAGAGGAAACAGGAAAGAGGAAGAGAACAGCGAGCACTGGCTTCGGTATCCATTCTAGAAGCTCCGGATCAAGACCGTACACGTCATTGAACTCGGCTTCGTCCTCAGGAACTCCGAGGCCCCAAATGAACTGAATCAAAAATCGAAGGAGTTATCCTCTCTTTTTTCTTTTTCTTTTTTTTTTGGCGCCCTAGATTGTCAGAAATGAGAAGGATTAAGAGAATGAAATGATGTCGGGTACCTGATTCATGACATCGGGATTGGCTTCGAGAGGAAGCCATCGGTTGTTGCTCGAAGTCGCCATTAAAAATTTGAAGGAAGTTGTGAAATCGAGAGGGAGTTGATTTCGGAGACGATTTCGTATGAATTTTGAGCTTTTACGTTGGGTTGCCGACCTAAGAGTGGTTATGGGTTGGGTTCGGGTCCGATCAGGGTCGAACCCGATTCACCACTGGGCCGGCCTTCTAACAGCATCTTGGGCCTGCTCTTTTAACGCTAATCGAGAGCGACAAACATCTCTTGAAAATCATTAGCCTTCTGGGTGAAACGTTAAACTTTTGGGTTGCAACTGGTTTAGGATCTCAATCTACAGCCCATTAACTCTATGCTAGGCCCAGTTTCTGTCTTGCACAAAATTCAACTAAAAGTGAGAGAAATTTTACTCAAAAGAACAAAAGAATGACACTTTTTCCCTTCAAATTCAATTACATTTTTAAGCCCAAAGTTCAATCATTTCCCCCCCCTCAAAAAGGTAACATGAATTTCTTAAAGTGTAACTAACAAACATATGAACAGAGTCTCTCTTAATTAGAGGAAGAAGGGAATTCATGATAGTTCTTATAACTAGTGAAGAGGTCCAATTTTGTATTATTCCAAAATAAAATTATTTGAAAGTTTGTCATTTTTAAAAATTAATAACACCCTAATAGTAGCCCATATATTATTAGAGGAAGGGTTAAAGTAAAAGATGAGCCATTTCTTATGCTTGGAATTTGTCATTTATTAATCAAGTTACGCTAATGACCATGAACAAGATAATCCATAAATCCAGCATAACAACTAGTTAATGAAGTAGTAAACTAATAACTTAAAATACTTTGTCGTGCCACCATGTGATCATATACTACAGAAGAAAAGGGGGTCCACAAACTGTACTTAGTGTATTTTTTTTTCCCCTGTACACAATTAGTTTAATTAGATGATTCATGTACCTAGGGGTGGTTGGATTCCAATTATACTGCGGAGGGAAACATCACGTGCAAAGTATTGAATGCGTATGCAGATTAATTAGTCGAAGAGGGATAGTTTATGGATAGCAATTTAGTGATAATTTGATGGTGCTCTTATTTTGGTTTTGACTCTCCAATTTAAAAGTCTATGTTTTTTTAAGAAAATTATAACAGTCAAAGTTATTTAGTTGTTTTGATCATTTGGAGGTTGCATGAATAGAAGTGCTAAGCTTTAAAATATCCTCCACGTTTTTCTATGTCCTTCTCTATTAAAACTTTCTCTCTCTCTCTCTCTCCTTCTAATCCTGATCCCCTGGATTTTTAAAGGAATTACACAAAAATTTCTCACATACACAGTTAACTAAGGTTTCTCTGCAAAATCAAGAGTCACTTTTCCTGTAAGGGCTTGTTTGGTTTGTTTCCTTTATTTTCCAAAACTCATTTTCCTTCACTTTCATCATTTTCCATTCTTACAACTCTCCCACATTAACCAATAATATGGTGACAACTCATCTCATCTCATCTCATTTCTTACTTTTAAAAATAAACTAAACACATATGGTGACAACTCATCTCATCTCATCTCATTTCTTACTTTTAAAAATAAACTAAACACAAGAAATGTGTCACATCAATCTCTTACTTTTAAAAATAAACTAAACACAAGAAATGTGTCACATCAATCAACTCATCCAACTCACCTCACCTCATTTTCCTTCACTTTCTACCATCTTTAAAAATTACTCGCATCATCCAATAATATGGTGACAACTCATCCCATCTCATTAAAAATTCTCTTCCATCACTTTCCTCCAAAAAACAAGGAAATTGATTTTCCTAAGTATGAGTCACATCATCCAATAATATAATGACAGCTCATCTTCTCTCATCTATTTTCTTAGTTTTAAGAATGAACCAAACACAAGAAAAGAACATAAACAAGGAAAGTGGAGGAAAACATCAAAAATTACTCATCTCATCCAATAATATGGTGACAACTCATTTCCCCCCCCACTTTCTTTTATAGCTTTGACAAACCAAACATCTGAAAGTGGAGGAAATTAAAATATCAAAATTCACCTATATCAATTTTCTTTCCCCTAATTTCCCCCACTTTCTGCATTTATTTTAAGAAACAAACAGGCCCTAAATTAGATCTAGCCTGAAATCAGTTTAGTACAGAACTAAGGAAGGGGCGGATCGAAACAAAATCAATTCAAGGACAAAATGTGCAGTTTAATTACTAATTTTTTTTTTGTCAAACTAGAATCAAGACTTAAATTGATTGTGTTCTATTAGACCGATTTTAAGTGGAATTGCCAAAACATGCCTCAAGTAGGGAATGTAGAGAATGAAGGAGATCATCATATCTCATACTTTTTAAGTAGCTTTTCAAGATTTTGTTGTTCTTGAACTTCAAGCTTTTTGTTTCGTCACCTTCTTCATTCAGACCCTTGTTGCTTTGTTGACAACTTTTACAACTTTTTTTTTTACCTGCTTTAGCTTATCCCTATGAAATACAGTTCGCATACTACAATGGAGAGCATTGGATTAGTAAATGAACAGGGTTCATCCCTTGTTTTTCCATCAAAAAAAAATGGAGAGCATTGGATACTACTTAATCAATAAGTGGACTTTTGATGCTACGAAAGTTTTAGTGACATTTGACTTTAATTTGAGTGAAGAATGCTGACCAAGTGTAGCTTGTCACTCAACGGTTTTGAATTGCCATACTGATCTGTGCGTATCAACTAATTTACTTGAAGATTATATTTTCTGGGAAAGAGGGTCAAGAAATTTATTAACTAAGGGAATATATATCAACATTAGAATAATAAGAGAGAAAAATTAAACGGAAGGAGCTAAGGAAAAAGATAATAGCCAGAACAGGCTAATTTAGATTTCCGAATCATGAAGTCACAATAATGCAGGATATATATATAGTGTTGTGCGCCGCGGAAGCCCGATTCGACAAATCAATAGCACACACAAAAACCAATAATAGACCACAATAGATCACAAGCAACCCAATCACAGCAAAAACACAAGATATACGTGGTTCGGCAATGTGCCTACGTCCACGGGGCAAGGAGGGGGGAGTTTTACTATTTGAAATCAATCTCCTCGGGTTTCTCTTGAAACTCAAGAGTCTCCTCCAAATTTTGTGCATCTAAGGCGTCCATTACTTGACACCTCCATAAACCGAAGTTAATCTTGCCGTCAAATTTTGGAACATCAATTTTAGCATTATTGATGCTCAAATTTGTCAAAGCCGACCCCGATGTACTAGTAGCACTTGAACTAGCCCTGTTTGTATCACCCATATTGTAGACCTACTCTTCAAACAAGAACCCAACAGTGAATCCTTCGAACAAAACTCCCAAATCCAACCCGGAGCTCTGATACCACTTGTTGTGCGCCGCGGAAGCCCGATTCGACAAATCAATAGCACATACAAGAACCAATAATAGACCATAATAGAACATAAGCAACCCAATCACAGCAAGAACACAAGATATACGTGGTTCGGCAATGTGCCTACGTCCACGGGGCAAGGATGGGGGAGTTTTACTATTTGAAATCAATGGGAATACAAATTAGGGTTACAAATCTTACCAAAACCCACAAATAAGCCCTCTTAATCTCTCCAATTGGCTCCAACAATAGAAGCCCCAAATCTCCTCTTTCAGCTGCTCAAAATCCTCTCCCTTAAACCCTAAAACTGAGTTAAGGGTATTTATACAACTTCCAAACGAAACGGGTCTGGAAACAGAACCCAGGCCCAAACCGCTTCGGCGGTCGACCGTGGCGGTCGACCGCGATCCATCGCGGTCGACCATCGCGTCAGACAGCGACGGTCAGCCTCCCTCACAAACTTCCCAAGAGCAGCAGGCAACAATCAGAGACTCATTCGCGCGTCGAATCGCGCTGCGGTTGACCCGCGGCAGCCGCCCAGGTCTGCCTGAAACCTGAGCCTGAAAGCCAATTCTACAAATCTCCACCTTGGCGAACGTTTTGCCAAAACTGAACCGACACCAAAAACACCCCCAAGCAATCTCAACTCATACAACCGGCTACATCTGCAAGACTGCATACGTATCCTCTTGCCCAATGAATCAAGCCGAACGTAGTTCATCCAAATGGACGCCAACGGCCTCAACAACGAAGAATGTTCAATAAATTCAAACAGTGACCAAACTTCACACCTGGAACAACTTTGGTCAACATATCAGCAGGGTTGTCCTTAGTGTGGACCTTCTCCAACGTGACATCGCCATCATCCAATACATCACGTACAAAGTAAAATATGACATCAATGTGCTTCGTGCGTGCATGGTAGACTTGGTTCTTCATCAAATAGATAGCTGACATACTATCACAATATACCTGTATGGTCTCCTGTACAATCCCCAAATCATCCAACAAACCATGTAGCCACAAAGCCTCATTCACTGCTTCGATCACTGCCATATATTTCGCCTCCGTAGTAGAGAGCGCCACTGTAGACTGAAGAGTGCATCTCCAACACACCGGTGCACTAGCCAATGTAAAAAACATAACCTGTAGTGGACCGACGTTTGTCAAGATCTCCGGCATAGTCTGAATCCACGTAGCCAATACAATCCTGCACTGTCTCATCATTCTTCACAAATATCAACCCAACATCCACGGTACCCTTAATATACCATAGAATCCACTTCATGGCCTCCTAATGCCCCTTCCCAGGGTTGTGCAAGACCTAGATACCATGCTCACGGCCTGTGACAAATCTGGCCTAGTACACACCATAGCATACATCAAGCTACCCACTACACTGACATATGGAACTTTGGACATGTAGTCCCGATCCTCCACTAAAACTGGTGACATCAAAGCTGAAAGCTTAAAGTGGGGAGCTAATGGAGTACTCACCACCATCAAAGCTGAAAGCTTAAAGTGGGGAGCTAATGGAGTACTCACCACCTTGGTATTGCCCTCAAAACTGAATTTCTTCACTAATGGAGTACTCACCACCTTGGTATTGCCCTCAAAACTGAATTTCTTCAGCATCTTCTGCAAGTAACTTCTCTGTGTAAGCTTCAATCTCCCCTTCACACTGTCTCGCTCAATCTCCATACCCAGTATCTTCTTAC